GTGACACTGTATTGGGTGTCTGCTATAGGCCACCAAACCAGGAAGAACAAGTGGATGAGGCCGCCTACAGACAGCTAGAAGTAGCCGTGCATTTTCAGGCCCTGGTCCTCATGGGGGACTTCAACCACTCTGGTATCTGCTGGAGGAGCAAAACAGCACAGCACAAGCAATCCAGAGGGTTCCTGGAGAGCACTGATGCCAACTTCCTGACAAAAGCAACAGAGGAGACAACAAGGAGGGGTGCTCTGCTGACCTCATACTCCCAAACAAGGAATGACTCACTGACGATGTGAAGGTCAAAGGCAGCCTTGGCTGCAGTGACCATGAGATGGAGTTCAGGATCCTGAGAGGAGGGAGCAGGGTAAAAACAAGATCACAACCCTGGACTTTGGGAGAGCAGATTCTGACCTCTTCCTGGATCTGCTTGGTAGAGTCCTGCGGGATAAGGCCCTGAAGGGAGTGGGGTCCAAGAAAGCTGGTTGATATTCAAGGACCACTTCCTCCAAGCTCAAGAGCAGTCCATCCCAACAAGCTAGAGGTCAGGTCAACATGCCAGGAGGCCTGCATGGATGAAAAAGGAGCTTGTGCCAAAACTCAAACACAGAAATGAAGTATACAGAAGGTAGAAGCAGGGACAGGTAACCTGAGAGGAAAAGAGAGAGACTGTCCAAACATGCAGAGATGCAGCCAGGGAAGCCAAAGCCCACCTGGAGATGAATCTGGCTGAGGTAAGGCTGAGGTACTGAATGTCATCTTCATCTCAGTCTTTACTAATAAGGCCCATGGTTAGGAATAACACAGGCCCAAGCTTTCTTTCCCTAAAAACCCAGAAGCTTAACTTCTTGGACTCTGTTCAGTATAAAGTGTAAGTGTACAGAACATGTTATCTAAATTGTATATTGTATATAAAAACTGTTCAAAGTTTCAATCAGTTATTTCCAATCCAAGTAAAATTCATGTTTATGATATTTAACCCTTTATTTGCAATAACAATCGTAAAAACTAATTCGAGTAATTTACATCAAAATTTTGATGGTTTACACAAGACTATCTACAACACTAAAAGCTATGAATGTTATACCCACAAATCTATGCAAACAAGAATTAAACAGGTGCAGACTGATGGGAATAAAAATTCTCCATAGCTTCATGAAGATGCCCCAATCACTGGCAGGATCAAAGAATCATTAAAAAATGAGGGGGAGACTGGCAGGAATCTCAACTGATCATCTGTCCATCTCCCATGTCCAGGCAAAATCTTATATACGTGATGCCAGATCAACTATTTGTAAGTGCTGAACATTAACACGTCCTTAATGTTAAAAAGTAGTTTCCAATATTTAAGCTCATATTTGACTGTGTTAATGAACTAATGGAGAAAAGTATACCTTTCAGACATCAGCTATCAATAGCTTCCATTTTCCAAGACTAAGTATTTCTGTAGAAATCTCTTGAAGGCTACAGCCAATTTTTGCCCTGGACTTTCCAATTTCCTCTCTGCATGCTCTTGCTTCAGTATGGTTCTTCTTGCTTTGCATTCACTAAGGAACTCCTAATTTGTCCAAGCTGGTGTGTTATTACACTTTCTATCTGTTCTATGTTAGGTTGATTCCTACTTCTGGAGTTATCACTTCTTTGAAGAACTACCAGGTCTCCATAATTCCTTTTTCTACTTAGGGCTCATTTCCATGTGATATCTTCTTATGAATTCTAAATTTAAGTGAACCTTGAGCTTTACTAATGTTTGGAGGTCTTTGATTAACTCTTGACTCTATCAAGTGTTTTGCTCAAGACATTCAGGCTTATCGCAACTGCATAGAATTAGACAAACTAAAGACTGGAAGCTTTCATAAACGTCAGGACTCAAAACGCACTTGTACATAGGTGTCATCTTAACTGGGTCTCTTAAAACTACAGTAAAGACTGTTGTCTATGAGACTAGACATTTCTACAAAAACACAGACATAAAAAGAGAAAGCAGACCATGTCCCTACCTGCATGGCTTACTAATACCACTATGAGTCAAACCAGGACATTAAAATTACTAATTGCAAGTACAGATTATTGCATAAAACATTTCTCAATTAATTACAGCTTAATTCTGAATTTCTCAATTGTTCTGAATGGATGGAATACATAATGCAGGAATTCCAACCCTAAAGAGGCGGAAAGGTCAAAAAAACCCCATTTGATCCTCTGACAAGGATACCTCACAATCTTCCCAAATACTTTAAGTTCCTTGGCAACTTATGATGCAGAACTACTCCTTGAAGAATATCATCAGTTCTGTAACAGTTACAGAACAGCAGTATTCCTCCTAGATAATTCTTGAAAAGAATTCTTCTGTAAAACATGTAAACCATAAGATTATTTTATCCTCATGCACATTCATATTGCTATATAAACTGAGCCACAGTTATCACACTGGGGAGGAAGAGCCATGTTTTCACATTATGCAAAGGTCTGAAGTTAAACACAACACATTTACATCCACTGTCAAAAACCACTCCTTATCAATCTCAGCATTTTGAAAACCAGGCCATGTGTTTGGACAAGCACTCCATGCTGAACTCTTTTTGAATGATCTTTCTATAAATTAACATTTGGCTTGCAACAGACGAAGCAATTACATAACTCTGAAACATAACTGACATATACCTTCAAGGTTCATTACATTTGACACTGTCACATAAGCTTTAAGTCTGAATAATTCCAGCCTTCCTGGTTCATATGCTTGACAGCATATGAACACTGAAATAAAAAAAAATAATCAGGCAACAAACTTAATCAGCTTCTGACTAATGTGACTGAACAAACAAAATTAAATTACTGAATTCCATTTTCATAAGATATTGGCCTTGTATTGCTGGAAAAATCTAAATTTTATTGAGTTTTGTACAGACTCTTTTTAGTCGGGATTTTTGTTTTGGTTTTCTATCAAAGAGAAAGATAAATTCTCTACTGTGTCGTGGAAACGCAGTGCAAACAGTTTCAAACACTGCCAGGTCACTGCCTCTTCAAGTAAGCCTTCAGAGAAACAGTGCTTTAACAAATAGTCCCGTAACAATTTTCTACAGTTCAACGAGCCTTAGCAGCAGCTTTGCGAGTCCCCTCTTACACTGATAAAAAGGGAACTGTAACCATGCATCCAAAACCCCCTGAAAGTCACAGTACTTTGCTCTTTGTACTATTTACAGGAGGCACGTGTTGAACTACCTGGCATTAGTGTTTGTAGAGATACAACATCGAACACCCCTGCCTCCCTTTCTGCACATCTTTATCACCCTACAGTATTTCTTCTGAATTTTTGTTATTTTTAACTAGCAACACATAGTTCATCATTTCAGTCACACACTAAATTTGATTAAGTATTAAATGAAGACTTTGCACAACCTTGATTCACAAGTCATAAAAGCAAAGCCCAAGACAAATCTGACAGACCAAACATCACTGAACTGTTATGGTACAACTGACATTTTTTTGAAGAATGTCATACGCTGACAGCACTTGTTTCTCCCTGATGCAGTACCAATTGCAGTAGTAGTTTCCAGTAGCTGCTCAAAACTTACAAAAAAATCAGGTTAAAGCCCTGAGAATATCTCCTGCCTCACAGGTATGAAAAAGAAAACTCCCAACACCTATGCATAAGGTCACATTAGCAACACTGGATTAAAAACCAGATCCTTTGGGCTCTTTCAGAACCAACCCTCCATTATTATTTTTTTCCAGGTCACTAAGAAGGTGGCAGCGTCTTTACACACTACAGCCAGTCCATACCCTCACGACCAGGGTTATAATCATTTTGGACCGAGAAAGCACTTAATTTCCTCTGTTGGAATAAACCTCTCTTCCTAATGCTTCAGGAGGTTCAGGAGTTTCGTGACACACCGGGGCTGCACAGGTAATTTGATGATGGCAACCTCCTCCTTCCCACACAGATGCAGCAGCTCACAGGTCTAAGCACTTGCATGCATACAGGTGCACGGACTGCTTTTCAGCGCAGAAAAGACTGGGCACGATCATCCCACACCCTGCAACAACCTTCACTGTAACCAATCGTCATCCAATTGCCTGACACCCTTTACAGGTAAAGTTGACAGAAACAGCTCTAGAGGGACTTCACTCATTTCCCTGTCCTACGTTTCCTGTAAGATCATGATTTTAAAGGGAAATAATATGCTGGAAAAGATACACTAAAAACCAAAACAAAACCACACACGCCCCACCACACAGTTTACGGTGGGAATGTGTACCTAGATAACTTGCCAACTAAGGCAGACTAACAGAGCTGATAATGTACAATATGGCTTTGTTGGAGGGTTGCTTGTGAAAAACAGGCAATAAAAATGGGTAACTTATTACTATGATAGCTTAAAAATCAAACACAGTGAACCGACTGCCATAAATGAAAGGAATGATATATGGGGAATGAAGAAATTTCTGATTCCAAACCGATAGCGAGCTGTTCTCCAGAATGTTTTCAGAAGAATACTGTACAAAGCTTATCGCGACTTGTACAGCAAACTGACAGGAAGCTGCTGGCGTAGCAGGAAAAGCAAATGAAGTAATATATAAATATGTAGGTAAGTAGCAAGTCTCAATATCTACAATACTATTGGTGCTTGGAGTTCAGCTTTGCCTCAGATTTGCTCTGTGATTTTGGGCAAGTCACACAGATCTCTCTGTAGATATGTTTAGATAAAGACATTTGCTCTCAAAGCACTTTAATCTCCAGAGATGAAACATTATATGAAATGTAAATGTTGGTATTTACAGCTTGCAGCCTACTAATGACGGTTGAAATGTACATTCCACATTTATCATCTGATAGAATCAACTCAAAAGCAGTCTTCATACATGTTTTGACAATGTGTGAACGTTCAGCACAACTCATTGCATGTCATCTGGCTGTGAAGTATGACCAAAAACATCCAACAAAAACCCCACAGTAAGAACAAAAACAACCAAAACATCAAAACAAATAACCCCCAAAAACTTACTTGCAGAAGCGTTCCATGAATATTATTCTGTCGTATGCAAGGACTGGTAGAGTCTGGAAGCCCCTCCAACAAGGACAGCACTGTACGTGGTACTTCATTTACCATAACAAATGGAACAAGGGCCCGACCTGACATCTCACGTGAACGGTACACAGGAGAGTGCCCACACCTAGAAAAAGAAGAAATACCTATTTTTCTGTCATCCAGCTGCAATCCACTGCTGTAGCTAAAACAAAACAAAGGATAATGCAATGAAAACTAAGCCATATTTCTCACAAATCAAATGTACGGTCTTTCTTCTCAGTAGTGAGAGAGTATTTGCCCAGAAACATAAGTCATACTAGAGCCATGTTGGAGGCTTTTTTTTTTTTCCTTCAGAAGCTCCTGTGTTTATATAAAGTAAAAAAATCCAACCAACCAACCAAAAAACACCAGAAAAGATGCAATTATGCCATGAAGCAGGTAAGTATATGGCCCTGTTCCATCTTTCTTGATGTTTATGTTACTTACGATACATCAATCATATTCAAATGTATGATGAGTTTGGCTTAAAACTATTAAACTCCATGTTCTCAAACAGATGTTTCCATAGGAACACAACATGGTGTCTACTGGAATTTTAGGCCCTATTTCCCACTGGTTTTTAGAACATATTTAAAGCCAGAAAGTAAAAGACACATTGGAAAATAATTTTCTATTATTTGTAATTAGTATCTCAAAAACAAATACTTTTTATTTACTAAAAATTAAGTGATAAAACTGCATATAAAACAAATGCCAAAAAGAACTTTTTATCTTTTAACATTACTAAGGTTTTAACTGGCTGTAGATTTATGAAAATACACAGAATTAACTATTCAGCTATATTAACACATTAACCAGCTGTATACTACTTCAGTAGCATGTATACTGAGTTGAGGTGAATAAAAATTTTTTTACCAACTGAAAGCAGGTTAGGCTAAGTCTTTCAAAGCCAGTAATTCTTGCATGTGTCAGCTTTTGTAAGGCAGATATGATTCAGCCACCCGCAGTCTCAGACAACTGAGAAAGTTACTACAGGGTTTAAAAATGAACGGCCAAATGACTTGGGTGATGTAAAACGCAGCATGGCAGAAGTTATGCTGGGATACCTCCCAGCTGACTGTGATGACCCAGAGAGACGGCCTTCCCTCCTCCTACCCTCTCATCTTTTTCCTGAATTGCTTCTTACATACTTTCAGCTTACAAAATCACATGTAGTTGAGATTATCCCCCGCCAAAATGGGCAAACCACTTTTGAGCTCTCCCAAACAAGCCCTGCAGGGTCATGCCTACGTATTTAGAACGTGAAATGAAATTCAAAGGTATTCTAAGGTTTCAAATATCTCTAGCGAATTTAAATCAATACTCAAAGTAGTTGTTTACTTTCGTTCACATCAAAGAAATACAGAAAACAGCTTCCATCTTGAATCAGCAACTGAATTAATAGGGTTTTGAACACAAGACAGTAAACAGACTTAACTGAAAGAGCGTAACAGTTCTGACATTTTAGTCACGTTAGGCCACAGTATGCCTGAAAAACACAGACCTCATTTAGAGGAAGTAGAGAGCTATGCTACCCCTCAACGACAGGCTTTTGTGGGAATTTTCACCCTCGCAGCACCGCAGCACGTTCTACCCTCAACCTCCCCATGTCTGCCCTCGTAGGGAGTGATTTTTAGAAAGATCATCTTTCCATGTCCTTTTCAAAGACTGGCTGTCCCTCACAACAGGACGCAAAAGCAGAGCAGTCACAACTGGAGGCTCTTCCATACAGAAAAGCTTTAATTGTGTATTGACAAGGTCCAAGAAGAAAGTCAGCTTAGCTCTTAATAAAGAGCTTCCATTTTTTTTAAACAAAAACATTTTAATTCTACTGCATAGTAAATTTAAACCTGAGAAGTGATTTGTCTGAAACCATTCCTTTATTTCTGCTAAACCACGTTTTCTTAACCAACAGATTCTGACATGTAGATGTTCTTTCCAAACACAAGCAACACTGATACTGTAACGAATGCCTAGTTTTTAATTAGCCATAACTGTATACTCAAGACTGTTCTTTATTTTGTTCGTGACCTTTTACAAATCCCAAGGGATCCGACACGTCTTCAGAAGGAAGAATGGAAAATGGGTAAAATGCCAGGGTTTCCTCTAAGTTGTGCAAGGGTACTTTCCAACACTACATGCTTCAGAGGGGCTTTGCTCCTCAAACACGATGCAATGAATTAGAATGGAATTCTGTGGGTTTTTTGCTAGTAATAAAAAATGGAGTCGAGAACAATTTTTAGGTAACCTGACTTTAACTTTGTTGTCTTGTAAAAACTGACATTAAAGACTTATAACACATACATATATGGAGATACAGTATTTTACGTGTCAAATTTTGTTCCATGCTGTTATTTTATCAAATTTGTTATGGAAATAGAAGTGACTGCTCTGCATTTAGAAAGAAGAAAACAATTTCATATTACAGGCAAAATTGTCTCAGCTGCCTAAAATCTGGGTCCACAACAGAGACTGCCACCTAAGCATTTATACTGAATGTATAGAAGGCAAAAGTGCAATTCTCAAAACTACAGACAAGTCTAATCTTCACCTCTCCTCATGCCCCAAACTGTTGTTTGCTATAAGAACCTCAGCAGCCAAGTGTCACCCCACACAGAAACCTAACTCGGACCCTCAAATTAGGTTCTGTTTTGTACTTTGAGGATCCTAAATCAGGAGGCAATAACCTCCTCCTCCCCCTGAGCAAACACACAGGTGCCCAGCGGGTGGAGAACTCGCCCAGGACGCAGGGGACCCGGTTCTGCAACTTTCTGTGCCTGAGGGAAACGCAAACCCACAGCTACTACTTGCCCAAAGGGCAACCCAGCCACCAGTGGCAGCACTGTACTACGCACCTGCTGTACACCAATGCAAACCTCTCGCACTACCGGTTGCTCCATAGGGTGCAGTGTACTCACAGGAACTGGCATCTTAGTGGAAACCCCCGTAAGAGCACTCTTACGAAGTCATTACTAAGGAACAAGAGCATCACAAAGTTTAAGAACAACAAGGTATCTGCTTTATAGGAACACATATGGGAACACAAGGAAGGTATTTCACATTGGCAAATAGCTTCCCAAATCTGCGAGGGGTTAACATTCCTACTGTTTCTTCTCTTTTTTATTTATTTTTTTAAAAACTCCTAATACTCAAAGGAAATTGGTGTCCCCCCCCAAGAAACAGTGCTGATAACATTTCAAAACACTCCTCCTTTCACATACCCATGCAAGATATCACCACTAGTGACCTATCCCTGAACTTCTGCATACCCTGAAGGCACTTATGTGTACATCTCATGTTTTGAAGGCACTTGGCTTCGTTCCTGAATGATGCAAGAAGTTTGCCAGAAGAATGCCAAAATATACACTACTTTTTCCATAACCTGTAACAGCAGCCTAGATTACAAACAGGCAGTTTTAATTTTTACTGGATCCCACTTAGATATAATCTTTTACCTGTAAATAAAACTAAACAGGATCAATTCTCAAAAAGTGAGAGGACGAGTGAATGCAAATAAAAACTGAGTAACACAAAACAACAATGTAACCCAATGTAGCAATTTTTTGTTTATTGTTATACCAGCCTCCAAGATCAACTATACACCTTAACACTGAGTCAACCACTTGTATTCTTAAATATTTATTTTACCTAGGATTTAGCAACAACTATGGGAAGCAATCTTACAAGCTGTATCAAGAAAAATCATTACAAAATTACAGCAATCACTGTAACTCAGTTCATACCTGCAGCAAAACCTAGCAGCTTAAGGAGAAATATTTTAAGGCTATTGAACTATTCTGGTTACTCCTCCTGCAGCAGTTTAACACACTGCCATCCCTGAGATTAGTTTCACTAACAGGGTGGCAGTTGCCTTGCCAGGACATTGGCAGAAAGGAACAGGACCTCCAACCTTGGCCACTTCACCATCCAGCCTCTCAGCTTCACCTGCCAACAACATGACTAAAATCTGTCACAGGCTGCCTCTTCTCATCTTCTCTGCAGGCAAGTACGAGCCATGGAGTCTTGCATCCGTCAGGGCAGCGTGCACGTGTGTGCAAACCTGTATTTAAAACTGGTTCATTTTCTTTGATTTGAAAAATACTCGGCAGGGCTGGGGGGAAGTGTTTCCAGTATGTCACGCTTTCTTTACATGCAGATCATTTATAGGCTTTAAAATCTAAGAAGAATCTAAAATGTTGTCATATGTAAAAACATACAGTATTCCAACCTAATTTTACTACATCTCAAGGTAGCAACAAGCAATGAAACTTGCAAAATCCTCATGTGATACACTTCTGTTAAATCCTGAGGGCAATTAACAACTGTTGAAGTAGTATTCCACGTTGAACTCAGTACTGTTTATCTAGGTGCACGAGGTATTGGTTGTAAACATGTTTACTTCACACAGTCCTTGATCAAGAACAAAAAGTCAATAAATCTGAGAAGGTTTCACTTTGTGTAACTGTAGATTCAATGCATTTCCACTGCTCCACTCCAGTTTTAACACTTAGATCCTGAACAGCCCTCCTAACTGACATAATTTATGACCAACTCTCATAAGGCACAAAGATTCCATACTCCTCTGCACACATCAAAGTATCTAATTTATTATTCTGGCTACAAACAACAGAACACTAGCTGTAAATAAAAATATCTTAAACTTCTTTTGGAAAAAAAAAGCACTGCAGGTGTTTCCTATGTGCTTATTTTTCTCCCTTTCTTATTACTCCCCCTCAACAGACCTTATATTACCCAAATTAACAAACCAAATAAGGATTACCTTTTATATGAAGGTCACAGAAACAAATGAGTAGAATTAATTTGAAAAATCACACCTGTAGCTGAAAATATGTCCGTTACATTAAGTAATACCTACAGTTGTTAGAAGAAGGATTAACAAGGAGAAAAAGATCTATTTCCAGGTTTACTGGATGTTGTCATAGCAATCTGTGTATTACTAATTATGTTACTGCTTATTAACAGTGCAGTTCCTGCAGTCCTACAGACAGTATCGCAGCATCACAATTCTGTTTTCAGCTGAAATACATTCACATCCCTCGCCTTCACAAAATGCTGGAAGAGAGAATCGGGAACACCAGCCGTGAA